TTCTTGAGGGGGAGGTTAGATTTGCCCGTGTGTGTGTGTGTGTGTGTGTGTGTGTGTGTGTGTGTGTGTGTTTATCCGTCCTAGTCTTTTTGGGCTGCTGTGACATTATGGTGTAGACTGGGTGGCTTAAACATTAGAAGTTTATTTTTTCACAGTTCTGGAGGCTAGAATTCTGATATCAGGATGCCAGCATGCTTGGGTTTAGGTGAGGACCCTCTTCCTGGCCTATAGATGGCTGCATTTTCCTGTGTCCTGTCATGCCCTTTCCTTGGTGCATATACATGGAGGGAGAGAGGGATCTCTCTATTTTCCTCTTCTTCTGAGACCAGTCCTATTGGATTAAGTTAATAGATTTATGACCTCATTTAACCCTAATTACCTACTAAAAGACCTGCCTCCAAATATGAAAAAATTGGAGTTTAGAGCTCCAAAATAAGAATTCTGGGGGCCACATAATTCAGTTCATAGGAATGTACGTGTGTGTGTAATATATGAGTAATAAAGGAAATAATTATAATATATTTAACTAGAAGAAAGTATTCATGCTTAGACAATGACAACCCAGTATTGAAGTTCAGCACTGAAGTTTCTTGATAAAGATATTGCTCTGTTAGTGGAGGTGGCATAATATTATAATAAAAGGGTGGTTATCCAAAGATCCCTTTTTCCTCAGACCTCAGAGACTACTCAGTTCTCACTCTCCTTGATGTCTTAGTATTCGCATCCTACCTTTGCCCAGATACTGACTTGTTACTCTAAGCTACTTCTCTTGGCTTTTGTATCACAACATTGCCCTACTTCTCTATTGTTCATTCTTTTGCAAGAATGGCCATTGTGTGCTGCTGAACAAAATGGACACAACCTTTGCCCTCTAGAGCATGTAGTCATCCTCTTTTCCTTTTTTTCCTACAGTCTGTCCATGATTTCATTATGGATATTTAGTCATTAGCTGATTGTTTTATCTCTGTTAGTTTTGATTTTAGGCTGTTTCTGATCCGTTGCATTCCCCTGGCATAAGTTACCACCTCTAATGCCAGTATCTTGGGTATCTCTTTTTATTTCTGATTGTTTGCCATTATAGCCATTTAATGTATTTTTATTCAGAGCCCACTGTGTGTGTGTGCCTGGTGTAAAGAATATGAGAATGATAGTCTTTGCCTTCAAGTTGGTGATAGAATGTCATAGGCAATATGAAATATAGTGTGATAGATGTGTGTATAATTTGCCGCTGGACCAATACACAGGGCATGGCTGCCTTGGACTGAAGGGGAAATGAGAGGGCAGGTATCCCCAGTAGAAGGCTGAACGTAAATAAAGCCACCTAGGGTTTTGAAAACATAACATGGAAAGGCAACAGCAAATGATTCAGTCTGATTGGAATCTTAAAGGCTGCATGGAGAAGAGTCAGAGATGAGGCTGAGCATTTAAGAAGTTACCAGATAACCCCAAAGGCAATATTCTCAATACTAAACTAATTTTCTTCCAACATAAACCATGTCCCACTCACAGTTTCACATTTCTGTCAGTGGGCCCACCATTCTCTTTCTTGCCAAACCCTGAAGTGTCCTCTTCAGGTCTGCCTCCGCACTTGTAGTTAGGCATGAATTTAAATCATTTCTATATTCAGAACACTCCTTTGTGCATTCTCTTCTTTTTTCACTATTAACACACTACTTATCAGCTAATTACTGGATTATTTCAAGGCTATATGAAATGGTCTCCTTTCTACTGTGGTTTTTTTTTTTTTAATTTCTAGCATCCCCTATTTTACCCTGTTGCTGATCCTGACTGAGCTAAGAGGGCAGTGATATTTTATTTCCTACAGGAAAAGTCCTTTTTTAGGCCAGTATTGTAAATATGTAATTCTTTTTACTAAATGCGAAAATTTCAAGCTCTCTTCTTCCCATTAAAAACCACAGAATTGGGTGCCTGGGTGGCTCAGTTGTTAAGCATCTGCCTTCAGCTCAGGTCATGAGCCCAGGGTCCTGGGATTGAGCCCCACATCGGGCTCCCTGCTCAGCGGGAAACCTGCTTCTCTCTCTCCCACCTTCCTTGCTTGTGTTCCCTCTTTGGTTGTCTCTCTATGTCAAATAAATAAAATCTTAAAAAAAGCAAAAAACAAAAACCACAGAATTGAAGAATTAAGAGTTATCCATAGCAAAGAACATTTTGTTCCATTAACTTTGAGTTTTCATTATGAACATAATATGTATTTTATACTGAACAAGCTTTTTCAAATCATCAGTCTCCCACCTCCCAACTTCTTGTCACAGTTCTCATGTTTTAATTTATCCAGATCACTTGCCTCCATGGGAGGCCACATATACAATGACAGTGGAAACAGCCTGTACTGGAATCCTGGTTTTACTCCTTATTCATTTTAGCAAGGGTCCACATTTGTCTAAGCCTCATAATAACTTTATGTGAAAAATGGGAGAAGTGGTATTACCTGCAGGGTTATAAGTAAGAATGGAGTTAATCTGTGTAGCCCAGTGCCTGGCATGTGGGAGCACGCAGTACAAGTTGGCTCTAAAATGTTACATACCTTGAAAACCCCTTGCTCATTCCCTCTGTGCTCTTGTTAGTGCGACCTCATGCTGACCTTGCTTTTTTGTACCACTAAATACTCTCCCTGAACCCCTCCCTATTGCCTGTGGTTTACCTGCTATGACAGGTTCAACTCAGTTGCCTTTTTAAAAATAGTCTTTTCTAATAACTCTAGTTCACGTTGACCTCTGAGTTCCTATAGGACCTTTTATATCATTTTAGAAATTAGACACACTTAATGTCTTTTTTATTGTATTTCTTTGTAAATTTACATAGTATAAAATTCACTTATTTTGATGTACATTCTGTGAGTTTTGACAAATGCTAAGAGTTATGGGTAACCGTCACAGTCAAGATACAGAACAATTTCATCCCCCCTCCCTCCCCATAGCTATCTTGGTATTACATTTTAAGCAATTTCCTCCAATATACATTCTGTTTCTACACATAAGGTTTAGGCTCTTGAACCTAGTGTCAGTTTTATACTAGTTTGTCTCCCTTTGTGTGGCCTAACCTAGTGCCGAACATACAGCAAGTAGAGGTGAGAGTGTTTGCATTGTATAAAACAAAGCATAAAAACATAGTAAATTTCAATATACTACAAGGCTTCTCATTTAAGTTATTTAACTTCTCTTTGGTCTTTCACTTTACTTGGGTGAAAAATTTGAAATGGATTGTATAATTGGCTCAAGTGATTTCAAGTCTTTCAGGGCTAATCATTTTAAATATATCTTTGGGAAAAAAAGGCTAGTTTCTTTCTGTTTCTATTATCAAATACACTTATGGTTTCTATTTTTTCCTAACCCTATTAATTTGCTTTTTAATGTGAAACAAAGGTTTCTATCCCCCCCACCCGAGTATTTTTGGCTGTTATATTATTGATAACTAAATATATTTATAGTTTTCCCTTTTTTTCTTAAACATACTAAAAATATCAATCAATTTGATTAAAAATAAACTAGTTACAAAATGTAAAATAGAAAGCCTCCTGTTTTTTCAGCTTTATTGTTCTGTGGGCCAATTTTGCTCCCTTCTCTGGGTATTTCTTTTATTGATTGTCTTTAAAATCAGAGGTCAACGCAAGCAAGAGAATTTATACTTGATAAGTGTGGGGCTGATATGGACAAGCTAATGCTGCATGGTTTCCTTTATCTCTACTCTTGGGTATTTTGGAGTATTGATCCTTTTCAGAAAGGACCAAATATGGTTAAAATTTGCATCCCATTCAGTAGAGTTTACTTCATAATGAAGTGAATTGAATTTAACCATGTGTATCTTTTTTCCCTTCCCCAACAGCTTCCATGCCTATGGCTGTTCTAAATTTGGGCCAAATAAGTCCATTTCAGAAAGGCTTTTTCTGTAAAGACAACAGCATCCAGTATCCGTACCATGACAGTACCGTCACAACCACTGTCCTCTCCGTAGTGGGGCTTGGTTTACCCATTTCCTCTGTAAGTAAATAAATAAGTAGGTAGTGATGCGTTTATTGTGCTGGAGGATGGATGAAGTGAAGTTGGGGTGGAAATAAATCTGTAGTACTGTCTTCACCAGTGTTGATGTGGTGAATGACTGGGGAATATACCCACTGTTTTCATCTAGGGACAGTGTTACTTCAGTTAAAGGGGATTGTTACCCAAAATAACTTGAAGTCCTCATGAAGAACTATAGAACGATTAATTTACGATGGAAGTGTTCATTTAAGTCATTTGGACCAATGCTTTTCTGTATGTAAATGAGGAAAGTTAGGCCCAGACACTTGGTCAAGCTATTTTATGGCAGAGCGGAAACTAAGATTATGCTTATTTTTTCATATTTAAATGAATATTGAAACCATAAAAAAGGAGATAGATTTATTCATTAAAATTGAGAAGACAACTCAGCAGAAAGAATATAAATACATATGCAAAATAAAATCCTCAGAATACATCAAAACTTACTATTTTCTAAGTTGTGCTGATCTTTAGATAATTCATCGGTTTACAGGATAATATTTGTTTTCATTTTTTTAAATAACTGGAAACTTTCCTTCTAGGTTAAATTTCACAAATTAGGTTTAAGACTGGTCCTTGAGATTTTGTGATTACTTTCTTTATCCTTGCCTGTGATTCCTGAATCCTGCCCTATCCTGTTTCTCTTTATGTGAGTTGGAAATAGAAGAGAAGGAGCAAAGATTTACCTCCTTGACTGTCTTGGGATTGCATCCAGTGATGATGCTATATTTCTCCTTTGACCAGTTATCTTTTGGCAGTCGGCTTTGCTAAATAGTTGACTTAAAAATTTTTGTCGTAGCAGACACAGCAGCCTTATTTCCATAATAGGACAGGCTAGTTTTTCTTTGTTTATTTTGCCCTGATATGGCTAAGAATAATAACCTAACTAGTTCTTTAGTTTTCCATTTCATATCTGAGTTCTATTTTTCTTTTTGGCTAGCCGGTTGTTTTGTTTTGTTTGTTTGTTTGTTTGTTTCTGGATGGTGTTTAGCACTATATTATGAAGATAAAGGGGGCTGGTTTTGTGATATATCAAGATAGAATAACATTTCCATATATTTTCTACATATTCTAATTTGATCATAACTACTTTTATAACATTAAAAAGGAGAAAAATCTGGGATTTAGTTTATGGAGGTAATTACTTTTCCCCTAAAAAGTAAATTCTACCATAACTGGTAACTTTTGCTTTAGCCTTCAGACTGATGAAACAGCGTACAGTAAAACATATAGTCCTGACACTTAGATGAAAATAGACTGTACTGTCTTACTGTAACTCTGCTTGTATGAAGTGCAGGGTGTTTTTTGTAGCTGTTATTTTGAGCAGCTATCACCAGGTAAGGTTTTTATTTTTTTTTTTTTTAAGATTTTATTTATTTATTTGACAGAGATAGATCACAAGTAGGCAGAGAGGCAGGCAGAGAGGCAGGCAGAGAGAGAGAGAGGGAAGCAGGCTCTCTGCTGAGCAGAGAGCCCGATGTGGGACTCGATCCCAGGAGCCTGAGATCATGACCTGAGCTGAAGGCAGTGGCTTAACCCACTGAGCCACCCAGGTGCCCACCAGGTAAGGTTTTTAAAAACCAACCCTTCTCTTTGAGGAGTCAATTCCTTGAAGATCAGGAAGTTACTTCTAGTTATTTGACTTGGTACATTTCATCTTTTTCTAAAAAAAAAAAAAAGTTTAGTTATAAAAATAATAGATACTCATTTCTGGGGCACCTGGGTGGTTCAGTGGGTTAAGCATCTGCCTTCAGCTCAGGTCATGATCTCAGGGTCCTGGGATCGAGCCCCACATCTGGCTCTCTGCTCAGTGGGGAGCCTGCTTCCCCCCCCCCTCTCTGCCTGCCTCTCTGCCTACTTGTGATCTCTCTCTGTCAAATAAATAAATAAAAATCTTAAAAAAAAACAGATACGCATTTCTGAATTTAAGAAAATCTGTTAAAAAAGAAAAAGAAATCACCTATACTTGTACTGCCTGAAGACAGTTCATATTTTGATGTTGCTTCCTTTAGTTGGACAGTCTTATAGATCATTATGAGCACTTTGAAAATTCAGTTTTATTCCTTTATTTAGTTTTTACTAAGTTTTTTAAAATTTAGTTTTTACTAATTTTTATAACAAATGTTTTTGCATTATTAATAAATATGAAGACGAATTTAACAGCCATAAAGCTAAATTTTTAAAAAAATGGCAGGAAGTAGTAGTATTTGGCCGGTTTCTGGGCCTTAAATGTGCTGATAGCTTGTGGAGTAGTATAAGGGTATTCTTGCAAATTCCTAGGGTAAATTTGTTTTTTGTTTTAATAATTTACATAACATTAGATGTAGAAGACAATTTTACCTTTCTGTAAGGTGATTTACATTTGATGTAACTTAATACACACAGATACTTTATAATTTGAATAGTAAGATTTTGGATGATAAAACATTTTTTAATTAGAGGAAGAGCGAAAGGAGGGAGCAGAGGGAGCAGGAGAGGGAGAGAGAATCTCAAGCAGACTCCACGCCCAGCTGGAAGTCCAAACTGGGGTTCTATCCCAAACCCCAAGATCATGGACCTGAGCTGATACCGAGTTGGATGCCCACCAACTGAGCTACCCAGGTGCCCCAGATGATAAAGCATTTTTAAGGCCAAAACTTTTTTTTTTTTTTTTAAAACAATCTAGCATCTTTTTTAAAAAGTGCATTCATCAGCTAATCAAAAAGACACAAAATTCAGAAAACTATATATATAGTTTTTAAATATATGTAAATACATATGTAATAATATATAAATATAAAACATATATATAATTTATAAAGATATATAATATATAAATATAATTATATATTAAGACTGTGTTTTGAGGATTAAGGTTCTTTATGGGTTTTAAGGATCCACTTTTTGACATCAGTTTTCTTTCTTTCCCTTTTGACTTCATGTATCTTCTCCCTCCTTATCTTTTATATTTACTTTTATTAATTTTTAAATTTCTAGAAAAAGGTAAAATCTTGAATTTGTATGCAAACTCTGAGAGTAATGATAGTAAAAGTAAAGTAAGTATTAAATCCCAAATTCCTGTGTTGCAATGAATAAGTACACTTTTTCTAAAGTTTAAAGTGTATACAGTTTGGGAATAGAAAACTGTTATCTGTTTTTAATGGAATATTTTACCCTAATTTGAGTAGTGACTGTGAGTAGTTGCCTTTTTTTAGGTTTTGTTAGTGACTATGAGTATTTGCTTTTTTTTCAGTCTTGAATGCTCTATGTTACTACCTTGTAGTACAAATGTTTAGCCTAAAATAATTGACTGTTAACCTAATAAAGACTTGAATACTCTATGTTACTACCTTGTAGTACAAATGTTTAGCCTAAAATAATTGACTGTTAACCTAATAAAGACTATTTTCTTTGGCCAACTTATAAAGCTCCTAAAAGGACATTGTATTATTCATAGTGACCTAAACTGCATCATGACAAACCACGGATGAGTTTGGATACATGTGAAAAAGGCTTAAACTGTTTATATTGTATATATACACTCGTAGACGTTAGAGAGAAACAGATGAATGCTCCAAAGTTAAATGGACAAAAAGCAAAAGCAAAAAGTTGTCTGTGGAAGAAAAAAATTGCCAAAAAATATTTTAAAAAAGAGTCAGTTTCTTAAAAAGTTCATTTTAAAGCAACACTGAGAAAATGGTTTGGCCTCTTATGTTGGCAAAGGGAAAAGGTCTCCTTACATTATCAAGTATAGAAAACAAGTGTAGGGTACTTGGGTGACTCAGTCGGTTATGTGTCTGCCTTCAGCTCAGGTCATGATCACAAGGTCCTGGGATGGAGTCCCACATCAGGCTCCCCTCTCGGTAGGGAGTCTGCTTCTCCCTCTGCCCCCCACCCACACTCAGGCTCCCTCTCTTTCTCTCTCTCTCTCTCACAAAAATAAATAAAATGTAAAAATCTTAAAAAAATAGAAAACAAGCATATTCATATACAAAGCTAGCAGGAGTATAAATGTGTGTTAAGAAGAATGTATCATTAGACCTAGAAATTATACTTTAAATAGTTTACCTAAGGAAATAGTACCAATTTCATGCAGAGAATTAGTTAGAATATTTATTATAGCATCATTTTTTATAGTAGAAAATTGGAAATAAATTAGTTCAAGCTTAAGGGACTGTTTGTGTCCCATACCCCAGTGATGAAATATTGAGATATCCATATATTTTATAATTTTTGATACTTACTGACCTGGTAAGATCTCTTTTAATATACTAAGTGGGAAGGGGAAGGAAAAGAGAAATAATGGTGTTCTCTGATCACTACTATGATATTACCTTCATTTTATTTCTTCACTTCCATTTTATTTCTTCCTGTGTACACATACTGTTTTGTACAAGGAAGGCTATTTTTAAATTTTAAAACCCAGTAGAAATTACCCCATTTTCATTTTGATAAACATGAAGTTTAACTGTGTAAACTGTATACCCATTTTCATATAGTTGTTCCAAAAGCTGAACTGTTCTGTGTGTGGGTTTAATTTTGTTTGTCTCCAAGAAAGTTCCAAAAGAAAAGATATAAATAATGATATTTTGAAGATGCACAATAAATCAAAATAAAAACTCCACTTCTTGTTCTTGCTGGGTTGGCTTTTGTCTTAAGTGGACCTGCTGATAAACCTTTATCTGTCTCCTCAAAGAGAGAAATTTTGTCTTGTATGTAACAGTATACTAGAATCCAGTTCTGATGCTAACCACCCAGAACTGGCATCAGACTCCACCATTGGTTTAAGGTCATGGTTTCCAAAAAGACTGCCCTTACTTTAGTTGTCAGCTATAAGTTTGAGGGTCCCCAGGTCACCCATACTTCTGACCAATTGGCTACAAACCCAGGGGATTTCCGTGACCCCCCTACCCCTACAAGACTGCCCTCATTTCAGATGGCAGCCATAAGGTTGGGGGTTCCCAGGCCACCTGTACTTCTGATAAGCCTACTATGAATTTGGAGGTTCCTATGACTCTCTCAGGTTTAATAATTCACTAGAATGACTCAGAACTCAGGAAAGTGCTTTTTTTTTTCTTTTTAAAGATTTTATTTATTATTTGACAGAGAGATCACAAGCAGGCAGAGAGGCAGGCAGAGAGAGAGGGGGAAGCAGGCTCCCCACTGAGCAGAGAGTCCGATGTGGGGCTTGATCCCAGGACCCTGAGACCATGACCTGATCCGAAGGCAGAGGCTTTAACCCACTGAGCCACCCAGACTCCCTTGTGCATTATTTTCAATTACAGCATTTTTTTGTTTTGTTTTGTTTTGGTTCTTTTTTCGGTTTTGTTTATTTAAGTAGGCTCTATGTCCAGCATGGAGCCCAATGTGGGCTTGAACTCATGACCCTGAGGTTGAGACCTGAGCTGAGATCGAGAGCCAGACACTCCACTGACTGAGCTACCCAGGCTCCCCTATTAGAGTTTTTTTTATAAAGGATCCAAATCAGTAGTGAAGATACACTTAAAGTGAAATGTGGAAGTTGGGAGGAGCCTGAATGCAGAACTTAGGTACTTATGTGCCCTCTCCTAGTGGAGTCAAGGGTTGTCACCATCCCAGCATTCTGGTGTATTCACAAAGCTTCAAGTGTCAGGTGTTTTTATTGGGGTTTCACTTATTTCATGTTTGAGTAAGTATGATTGAACCATTGGCCATCTGATTGAACCTCAATTTCCAGTCCCCTTCCCCTCCCTGGGGCTCCAAGCCCCATCTCTCTGATCACATGGCTGATCTTTATAGCACTCATACCCATCCTGAGTCATCTTATCAGCATAAACTCAGGTGTGATTTAATAGATTCATGAACAACAAAGGTATACCTGTTACTCAGGAAATACTAAGAATTTAGTCTCTTTGGCTCATAGGAGCCAAAACAAAGGCCAGTCAAATTCTTTGTTAAAAATCTTTTTAAAAATTTTTAAAATTAAAAAATATTTTAAATAAAAAGATAAAAATCTTTTTATCTTTAACACTATAGACTTGGTGCCTTGAACACAATTCAGCGCTCAGATGTTAGTTGATAGGAGTAATTTTAAGAAGTTTTAGTTTTTCCCCTTCTTTCAATCTACCAACCAAAGTTTACTGAGGAATTAGAGGTTCTCTCCCTTATAAGGTTTCTTTTATTAAAACATGATGCTGACACTTGTTAAAATGGTGAGGAAGACTTTATTCAAGATTATTGCAATAGGAGAAAGAGATGGAACTTAGCTCTGAATACAGCAGGGATAAGTGGAGATTTATAGCCAAGGAGCAGGGTGTAGAGGTCAGGAGTTATAAAATCACTAAGGCATCAACAGTAGCAGAATTCTTGCAAAACTGACCTAATAGGATTCTTCTTCAGGGTATACCAGGACTTAGACATTAAAAGTTGGGATTAAGGAACTTGACCAAGTATCAAGTGTGATCAGATATTAACAGTTGGGGGATTTTTTTTTTTTTTAAAGATTTTATTTACTTATTTGACAGAGATCACAAGTAGGCAGAAAGTCAGGCAGAGAGAGGGGGAGTAAGCAGGCTCCTGTTGAGCAGAGAGCCCAACGCGGGGCTCGTTCCCAGGACCCTGAGATCATAACCTGAGCTGAAGGCAGAGGCTTAACCCACTGAGCCAACCAGGCGCCTCAATAATTGGGGGATTCTTGCTAAGGCTGGGTTGTGGAGGCCCAGCA